CTTCCTTCCTTCCTTCCTTCCTTCCTTCCTTCCTTCCTTCCTTCCTTGTTGCCTCTTTCTCCCTCCTTCTCTCCCTTCCTCCCTCCCTTCTTCTTTACCTCCTTCTTTTCTTTCTTCTTTCCTTGTTTCCTCCACTTGGCCATTGAACTCAAGGCATTGCACATTTTAAGAACACGTTATACTGCTGACCTTCACCTGAGCCTTATTGACCCTTTGTGAAGGCCTGTTATTTTTTGACAAGAGGCAGGAGGAGTGGATCTTGGAGGTACAGGAGGCGCTGTGAGGACAGGGAATAGTGAGGGAGGGCGAAATCTGCTCAGGATGTAATGTATGAGAGAATAGTAAGAGAGAAAAAAGCAGTCCCTACGTTATGTATTTTTTCATTTGGGTTCACATATTGGAGGCAAATAACTTTTAATAATACTACAACAGTAAAGAGAACATAAATATGATTTTCTCAGGATTAACTTAAAACTTCTATATGAAATATCTATAAAAATCCGAATGGTACATTAGAAAAGGTTAATGAACAACAGAATCAGAAGATGGCAAGAAAGTCTCAAGGACGTCCGAATCAGGCTGTTACATGGTGGACAGAGCAACAGAAGTTCAGGGCTCTGGCTCTGACTCTGCTCTGAAACGCTTTGATGAACTCGATGTCCAGCACTCGGAGTCTTTAGTTTTAAAAGCATTGACTAGTTTTCTGAATTAGTGCTTTTGAATCGCATTAGCATCACCATGTTAATCACGTTAGCATCACCACGGCATTAAACCATGTAACCTAAACCCCTCCAACACGTCAGACACATTCAGCCGTTCATGGACAGTGCCCAGGAATCTGGTTAATCTACATTGGTTTCTTTTTCTTTTCTTTATGTTTTGTGGTTTGCTGGATACTGAAGGAATTGTGACAGGAACAGCGCTGAACATAGATTTCTGTGCTTGGAAGTTTTGGTCATGAAGGAAATAGAAGCCAGCATGACAACAGCTGTAGGTACCTGTTACTCATTTCTATGATCTCATCAACCATTAACCTCAAAATTAAAAATATCTCTGTTCTGCCTATTTAAAGTCATTTCTGTGATGGCTAAAGTTATCACAATTAATTTTGTATGTTGCAACATAAGAATAATCATTACTAAGAGAAGTATTCAGGACATGGGGGCTCTCTATAAAGGTAGAACTGCATGGGGTCAAATTGAAAAATTGAAAAAGTCTATTAAAAACTCAGAGAAGTGCAGATGCTAGCCAAATTTAAAGCCCGTGAGAGGAAATAAATTATAGACTGTCACTCTGGGGCCCAAACAGGTATCCTACCCCATATCTAGTCCATAATTGGCTTTGATTTTTTTTCTGGGAAAAAAGTAATGCTTGTAAGTTTCTTGCAGATTTTCCATGCAGTTCCCACTATCTTCATTTTGTGTCTCTTACTCCAAACCCATTTTCTCAGCTCTCTGCTCTTTGACTTGCAGCTGTTTTCCTCTGGGTGCTGCTCTCCCCTCTCCTTTCTCTGTTTCTCTCTCTGTTCTGTTTCTCCCATCTCAGTTCTCATCCATCTTTGCCCAGTGTGTTTGTTCTAGGGTCTTACCTGGCTGTCAGCAGAAGAGGAGGTTCTCTGTCCATTTACTGCCCAGCCAAATATGTGTGCACATGCCTCATGGACCTGCTTGCCTATAAGGAACCCAGAACACAAAATAATACCGGCATTAAGCGCCCTTGGGACAGTAAAACTGTGTGTGAAAATTAGACAGACTGGGGCCTCTGAAAGCCAGAAGAAAACAGGAAACAACCTTGGAACATGCCACAGAGGGCCTCTGAAAGCCTCTGCAGTATAGACTGTCAAAGCAGATGCTGAGCCTGATGGACAACTGATGGGCAGAGTGAATGGAATTTTATGTAAGAAGTGGGAAATAGTAAGAGCTTGAGGGGACGGGAACTCCACAAGCAGAGCAACAGAACAAGATAATTTGAACACAGGGAACTTCCCAGAGACTCATACTCCAACCAAGGACTATTCATGGAGATAACCTAGATCCCCTGCACAGATGTAGCCCATGGCAGTTCAGTGTCCAAGTGGGTTACATAGTAATGGGAAGAGGGACTGCCTCTGATATAATCTGATTGGCCTGCTCTTTGATCACCTCCCCCTGAGGGAGAGCAGCCTTACCAGGCCATGGTAGAGGACAATGCAGCCACTTTTGATGAGAACTGATAGACTAAGATGAGAAAGGAGAGGAGAACCTCCCCTATCAGTGGACTTGGGGAGTGGCATGCATGCAGAAAGGGGAGGGAGGGTGGGACTGGGAGGGGAGGAGGAGGGAGGGGCTTAAGGGGGGATACAAAATGAATAAAGTGTAATTAATAAAAAATTAAAAAAATATAAGAAATAGATACGGATGCAGAGACATACTCATTCCAACACTTGAGAAATCAATAAAAACATTAAATTGGAAGCAATAATATGTACTAAAGAACCTGTAGTGTAAAAAGAGAAAATATATAAAGAACATAACATAATAAAATAAAGATGGAAAATAAGATAAAATTTTAGAAAGCATTGACACAACATTAGGAAACAATGAACCTCCGACAATGTTGTTGAACTCATTTTCTGCTGGCCGTCTAGTTCAGAGCTCGAACCTACTGTTGAGAATAGTTTGCTTCCCCAGTGAGACTCCCTTGGCGAAAGCTAAATTTTCTTTTTTTAAGTGGTTATCAACTGGAGCTAGATTCTGTGTTAATGACAGGGGCTTGTGTCCTTTC